GTCTTTCATCTCATCTTCATCTATATAGTTAATGGCTCTCGTATATCAGCACTCATTTGTATGCAAGCCCCCGATAATCATCACACATACCCCGTAACGCCATTCACCAAGCCTTAGCAGCACCGCAGTACTCCCACCGTTGTGAGTAGTAACTTCGCAGTTGTTCGACTCGCAGTCCGCGTCATCACGGCAGACGAGTCCATTGGTGGCCTTATTCAGATGGATGTGCTTGTACAAGCAAACGCCAAACTGGCATTTAGTCCGGCCCTTGCAATCCGTAAGATTTCGAGGCCCTCCTAACCAATCATTTCCTTCTTGCGCCTCTTGCAAGTTCTCACATTCTTCTCCAGGGCAGTGGAGAAATTCATGGCTGCGGATTGTAGGAAATTGATTGATATAGGAGGTTAGATAATTTGGTCGAGTAAGGCTGATGAAGGGTTTCCAAGTAGCCTTGGGGGAAAAGCCGTTGAATTGATGAACTTCAGTCCCCTTTATAACGTTCCTTCATTGTCATGATGGAACTCTTGAAGGATCAAATATTGGGTGGTTCTTGGGTCAACTAAAGCTTCAATATGGTCAAATGTCGCTCGATGGGGGCAAACAGAGCCAGATAGACACTATCTCGAGATGTTTTGCGTAGTTATACATTGATATCTTGAGCAGTGCCCCGAGGTAAGTTGTGACTGGTTCTTCAAGCCACGGCCTAGCTGTCAACAAGCGCCACAGATGGGCCTGTTTGTAGTGCCAATAACAGATGTCACAAGGGCCAGGGAAAGTTCGTAGCAACTATCGAATGGGCGGTGGCGAATATCTCGCTAAATCAAAGCTTTCCACGCACCACGAGTAATCTTCTACGACCAGAAAGAATCCTGAATGATTCATGCGCTGCACTGACTGCTATATGGCCACATGTAGTACTCCGTAGTAGTATCATCGACGGCATGGTCAATGTCTGATGAACAAATGCCATCAAACTGGTCCAAAAATAAAAGTTCACTAACTGGCCCCATCGTGTGCCCAGGATTCCCCATATTCTGGTCTAAGAACCCTAGGAGAAAGCCACGATGGATACGGAGTACGACGCTGAGATTCCCGAGAAGCACCATTCCTTGATGCCCGGGGACGGATGATGCTCTGACCATCTTGGATGTGTCCAGGCTCAGTGGATAGGGTATTATATATGTCGAGATACGATCGTCTCTCTGCAGTGTGGTTGGTCTCGATGCGTTTCCTTTTCCGAGGAGAGCAGTACTCCGTAGTGCCATACTTGATCATGGCACCAGACCGACTTTCACTTCACAGCCAGCCAGCCACCCGGGACACCTAAGCATTGTCCATCACTCCCGATCAACAATGTTTCTTTATCGTGGGAGGGGGAGGGACAGAAGAAAGTCCCGAGATCACCAGGAATACAAATTTTTCATGAGGCAAAGATAATATCCAAGGCCAGCCAACCTCGGAGCTTCCATGGCATCGGAACAGGGCCATCCTGACGCTGCTGCTGCTGCCGAGCCCACCCTCCCTTGATTTTGAGGGGACCCGACTATCAAAGAATAATATATTTCCTGTGAAGGAAGAGAGGGTGGCATTTTCGTGTTCAGCTTCATCAGGTCCAATCGAACAGGTAAACCTTGAGATCGCGACCAGGATACGTCACAGGGATAAACCGGGTCGGCCGATGCAGAAAAAGAAAAAGCAAGCAGAGAGAGAGAGAGGGTAAAAAAAAAAAAAAATTCTATTTTTGATTCTCAACTCTGGTCGTCGGTTCTCCATGGGCGTTTTGGACGAGCTGGCTCCCAGGAGTTGGTTGGAGCGAGCATCTTGTAACCCCCTGAACCGTTGAACGGGCGTTTTGAGTAGCCGAGCCACCGGGCAGCCGTAAGATCGGTGTATGAAAGGGCGTATTTGAGCCAAAACTTACCAGCTAACTAATGCAGTCCAGGACTCAAAAATGGTCAAACTCACACCAGGCAGTAAACTATTATTATTATTATTATTATTACTGTCGACCTCGCTATGCAGGCCGAAGGAAGCAAGTAAATGCCAGGCCTCCCTCATCACTCCTCACGTGTGAGCTAACTAGCTATCAGAGAGCGACGGCCTTGCATGAACTGCGACATGGATGCAGCAGGCCAGGAAGGCATCCAGCACTTGGCAGGGAGAAAGACGCCTGGAGAGACAGCAAGGCCGCTGCAGGGACCTGTCGGGTGCAGCCCTGCGTGCAGCGTAGAGAGCGATGGCGTAGGACAGACGGTATCTCGTTGCCCGGAACGGCAGCCCGGATGAAGTCGATGTTCAGCCCGAATCTCGACTTTGTCAAACAGATAAAAAGTAAAGATAAAAAGAAATATCAAGAGGCAAATCAAAAGAACTATAAAAAAAAGAAGAAGAAAAAAGATATTTTTGGATGACCGACGCAGGACTCGAACCTGCAAATCTCCTGATTCGTAGTCAGGCGCCTTAACCAATTGGGCCAGTCGGCCTGTTCGATGTGTTGAGGAGCCCGGCCAGTTGCCCTACTAAACTAGACTGTGGTTTAGTAGATGCCGACGAGACAAGTTGTGGACTTGACGGTTCTCTCTTGTTCAGCTTACAGCCAAAGACAAAGACTGCTCTGTTTATAAGGAGTCTTCCATATATCTATACCTTCTGAGCAGGTACATCGGTATTTGATATTCAACAGTTGTCAGTAAGGGAACCACCTCTTATCCTTTCTATCCTATGGCTATACATCTCATATGCTTCCAGTGAAATAGCAGCCTCTGGAAGGTTGCCATATACTCCATACACACCACCCACCATTAAAAGCTTACTCCCCTTCCTCCCATAGTATTAATATCAATTATCCATAGGTCAGAGAAAGCTCTGTCGTAAGATGGTTCTAAGACAGCACCTCAGATCATGGCAATCCCTGGAACTGTAGGAGCCATCCTTCTCTACACTCCTACACTGCCATGCTCGGTCTTCGTCATAGCCAGCTATCAGCTTACACCAATGACGTTTCTCAGCCTCATCCCCATCCTCTTAGAGTGATGTGTATATCTCATACTTCAGGTCCTTCAAGTAAAGGAGCAGTATCGAATGTATCTCCAGAGGTCGTCCAACCATGAGATAACATACAGTTAACTGCTGCCTCTGCCATCTCGCTGCAAGACCGAAAGAAAAGCCACCCACTATACGGAGTACTGGGCGATGAACAGCAAAACAGGCACAAACAGGCAGCTTACCTTGGCTTGTTAACTAGTTATCTAGTCTGCCAAATACTCAAAAAGATGCTCTGTTCCAGCGGTTGAGGGACGGTCAGACCGTTGTTGTATGCAGGGTAGCTAGCTACAGGGGTTTCCCAACGGTCTCCATCGTATTAAACCCGAGTAACCCTGTAGATGGCTTCAGCCTAGCCGTTGAAGGGGGGTTACACACGATGGCTATGAAGATTCGCCGGGAGCTGTAGAGGGCAAAGAATGCGACTGTCTATGAGAGATATCGTGGAGGAGAGAAACGCCCAAGTCAGACTGTCAGGACATCCAAGGAGAGAAAGGGTGTCTCTGGATCCTGCCTGGGCTCAAAGCGACCCTGGGCCTTCCGACTCCACAAGCAAACAGGCCGACTGGCCCAATTGGTTAAGGCGCCTGACTACGAATCAGGAGATTTGCAGGTTCGAGTCCTGCGTCGGTCATTAGAATTTTTTTTTTCGGGTCGTAATTTTCTTTTTTTTTTTTATTCGGCAGGACTCCGTAGATTTTCGTCATCATGGATGAGAATGCGACGTCGGGCCTGGTCTGGACGAGAGCAAGGATGGTATGTTCATTTCCTATTTAGCGAAGGGTGGGTGTGTGGTTGCTAGAGGGTGTCCGGCAGCGCTGGTGACACCTGAGATACTCCGGGCTCAGAGAGCGAGCGTCTGGAGAAGAGACGGAGGCAAAGGGGGGAGGGGGCGCCAGGAGGAGGAGCAGGAGGAGGAGGAAGGTTGATAGCTTCCTCCATGGACATGGTAACGGAGCACGCTACGATATCTTTAAAACCCCCCGGGAAAAGCCCACTGGACAGGAGAAACGCATGGAGCATGTATAAGCTGGCTTTCCCTCCACGGCCTTGCCTTGCCTGGAGCTTCAGCATGCCCTCGCTTCTCCAACGTGGCCCATCCATGGCGCGGATAAACGGTTCTCCCCCTCCCTCGCAGCAGCTGGCTTGCTTGGTTTAGGGCCTGTAACTCGGCGTTGACAGGTGCTACCCCTGTGCAAGGTCAGGACCAGTCCAAGCCCAAAGCCAGTCGGCCTGCCCCCCTCCCTCCCTCCCCCAAAGCCAAAGCCAAAGCCAAAGCCAGAGCCAGAGCCAGGGAAAAAGAACGAGCCGGCGTGTCGGTTGATTGGCCGCGCCAGAAAGCAGCGAAGAGGGAGGGCAGGACGGTGGAGATGCCAATCAACGGGTCTGATGGCCGGTGTGTGTGCTTGATGGCGCCGTGCTAGGGGGTGTGCGAGTGTGGTGTCGACCAGGCAAGCGGCGAGCAAGGCCTGAGGAGCGGTCGATTGGCCGGGGGTGGGAGAAAGGGAGGACCTGGTTGATGCCGGTGGGCCAGACATCGGCCCTTGGAGCTAGTATCGTATCTCCTCTGTATCTGCTGTATCCGTCCCCTTTGACGCTGTACCTCTCCCGTCTGGAATCTGCTTTTTTTTTTTTCTTTTCCTTCCCCTTCTTGGGTGTGCTCCGTAAGTAACAGTTGTTGGGTGGAATGGGCGAGGACAGACATGTCGGTAACTAGTAGTGTGATGATGTCCTCCGTAGTAGGCCAGGACAGCACAGGGGGGCGCAGTTTGATATTGGCCGATATCAGCCACTTTTCGACCGTTTCCTTTCCTTCTTTTTGCCTGGCGGTCGTCTCTCGAGGGCCTCCTTGCTCTGTATCTGCTGTATGAGCGTGTCCAGATAGGTTCATGGTTGCTTTTTCCTGTCCCCGTATCGTTTTGGCCCACTGCCTGCATCCGCCCTCTGACTGGCCTGGCTCAGCTCGCTCCAGACCATGAGGCAGCGTTGATGTGCTTCTTCCTCTCTCTCTCTCTGGCTGTCTTCTTGTCTCTTTCGTCTTCTTCTGGCCCTGACTCTTTTTTTTTTTTTTTCTCTCTCTTTGGTCTCGTCTCGCTGTTTCTTCCCGGTCCCTTCTGGTCCTCCTTTCTGGCCGCCTCTCTGCCGTCCACCTTCTTCTGGCCATCCCCTTGATCCTCCCGCGTCGTAGCAGACGAAAGACCCTGTTCGTCTCCTTCGTCCCCCTCGAAGCCCCCTTCTCGGCCCTCGTCCTCGATAGCATCAACCTGTCTTCTTTCTCTCTGTCCGTCGACGTCGAGACTCCTGGCTGCCCGTCGTGGTCCGTATACTCCGGCTCTCACCACCACGCTCCAACCGCCCAATAACTACTATACCACCAGCCCAGCACCTCTCCCTCTCCTTATCTTTTATCTTTCTTGTCGCTTTGTATTCTCGTCCCGTCAGCCTGTCTGTCTGTCTGACTGCTGCAGTTCTATCATGGTTACGCCGCGCGTTAGTTAGGAAGAATCTCGACGGGCTTCAGGCAACAACTTCTTCTGCTCGAATCTTCAGCTTCGACGTCCGGCTCTCCAGCACTCACACCAGCGAGCTTCTGCGACCCCCTTTTTGCTCCCCTCGCCTGCGCCGTCCGCTCTGCCTCTCCTCTCTGTATTTTCTGTCTTTGCGCGCGCGCGTCGCTTCTGCGTCTCTTGTCGGCTCTTTGCGCTCGCCGCCGTCGCTTCTCGCTTCTCGTCTCTACCAGCGCCGGCGACCGTCGTCTCGCTCGTCTCCCGGTCTGGCTCGGCCCAGCAGGAAGGGAAAGATATCTTCATTAGAGAGAGCAGTGAAAAGATCATAAAGGTTATATATTCATTATAAAAAAAAAGCAAGACAAAAAAAAAAAAAAAAAAAAAAAAAACGCCTGCGTGAAGGATGGGCACTGCGCATCCCAACCAGGCCGGTGTCGCCTTTGAAAACTCCCTGCAGCGCAGAGAATCACTCTCGACGGGCCTCCCGCGCCTCTCGCTGGCTACGACAAAGGCCCTCGCCGTCTCCCAGGGCGGTTTGGCCTCGGACATCTTCGCCAGCACGTCGCAGGCCTCGAATCTGGCGGCCTCGATACCCTACTCCATCACGCCCATCGGCAAACCGTCCAGCTTCGACTCGAGAACGGCCGTCTCTGTCCGTCTCGGCCAGCAGGCAAACGGCTCTACGACGTCCAGCATGGGCAACGGACAGCAGAATAACAATCAGCAGCAGCAGAACCAGCAGCAGAATCAGCAGAATCAGCAGCAGCAGCAGCAGCAGCAGCATGGCGGTGCTACTGCGGTTCGCATGCGGATGCTGCCACGGAACACCAGCTACGAGGCACTACGGAGCATGCTGCTGTTCGCAAAGAACCTGCTGGACGCTGAATTCGTGCCAAACGAATACTCAGAGGACGCCTCCTTTCTGACGGCCATCGCCCTGTTCGAGACGCGGACCGCAGCCGAGGAGGCGCAGGCGATGCTGAACGGGAAGCCCAACTCGACCAACGACGCCAACATGATAGTCGAGATCGTGTCCGGGCCCTCGACGTCCGCCATGATATCTCGCCGCAACACCATCGACCACCTGCCGCGCTCGCTCTCGATGCTCTCGCCGACCTCGCCGCATCCCTTCATGCCGCCGTCTCGCATGCTGGGCCGGCTGGACGACATGCACTCGCTCGACAATGCGCTGGATGGCTCGTCTATCGGCAAGCAGTCCTCGGCTTCAACTACAAATGGCGAGCTGCCTGCGCCAGATACAGGGTCTCGGATACACTCCCTCTTCTCCTCTCAGTCTCCCGCAGGCAACGGGATGAACGACCGGCCCCGTGTCTCTGGCAAGTCCGTCATCGATCAGGACGTCGACGAGGACACGGGCGAGCTGCTCAAGGATCCCATCGCTTACGCCAGAAACGGACCCATGGCCCTCCAGCGCCGCTCGACAAACCCGCAGCTGCCCATCTCGCAGTTCTCAAATCTCTCGCTAACGACCAACCTGTCATCTCCGCCGCTGGCCCCCTTCAGCGCCGGAGCCGGCACTCCAGCCACAGGCAGGAACATGGCCACGCCCACCAGCGCAGTATCTACTTTCAGCGGAAGCGGTTCGACAACCCCTTACCACCAGCTCCAGTTCCACCGGCTCAACTACCCGCCAGTCAACCCAGCGGACCAGAATCCCCCCTGCAACACTCTATACGTCGGCAATCTCCCGCCAGACACCTCCGAAGACGAGCTCAAGGCCCTCTTCTCCCGCCAGCGCGGCTACAAGCGCATGATCTTCCGCCAGAAGCCCAACGGGCCCATCTGCTTCGTCGAGTTCGAAGACGTCTCCTTTGCTACCAAATGCCTGACCGAACTCTACGGCTACGAGCTCTCCAACAGCGTCAAGGGCGGCATCCGGCTCAGCTTCTCCAAGAACCCCCTCGGCGTCCGCAACGGCCAGCCAGGCAGCATCCACCCTGCCAACTCCATGAGCTCGCCAGGCCCTGTCTCCGGCATGAACAACAGCACATCAGCAGGCATGGGACCGGTCCGGTTCTCAACTGCCAACGGCCCACCACCTGGTCTCAGCGCCCCGCCAGGCCTACCCATGCCCATGCCAATGTCTATTCCGACAAATAACTCAGCCATGGGACCGCCACAGCAGGTCCAGGTTCTCAATTCCTCGCAATTTAACGGCCTCGGGCTTGGCCTGAATCATAACGCAAACGCCATGGCAGCAATGCGGCCTGGTGCTGGTCCGGGTCCCGGCTCCGGTCCCTCCATGAATATGGGCGTGGGCATCGGCGTTGGCATCGGTTCGCCGACTGCCGGTAACATGGGAGCCATCAACAACGGCGGTTCATACCCCGACTATATGATGGGGAGATAAAAAAAAAAAAACTTCCATCTATACCAACAGACCTCATTACATCACACCTATTCACTCACTCAACTCAACTTCTCGTCTCATCTTCATCTGTATAACGGTTTTGCATGGCGTGTGGCATGGCATGGCATGGCATAGCATAGCATGACATCTATGATGAAGGCACGGAGCATTGGGCGCAACGGACCACACAAACCATCACCACTCGACTCTCTATACCTTTCTACCTTCCAAAAAAAGACGCAAGACGCCATCCAGATTCCCTTCTACTCGGATTCCTACCCCATCTGCTGTCGGTTTCCAAATTTCCCCCCTTGGACTGTTATTTCCCCCCTTTTTTTTTGCCCCCGCTCCTTTTGCCATCTTATCATCTCTCTTATCTACTTGGGACCGTTTCTACTGCTCTTAGCTCCATTCATCATGCTCATTTCAGCACAATCCATTGGTTCATCTGTTTGTTTGTCCTTTTTTTTGCTCTCGGGTTACGTCTAGCAGCGGCATGGTATGCAGGGTGGAGTGGTCTTATTTTGTCAATCTCATTTTTCTTCCCCTTTCCTCTCTATAACTCTACATCATTTCATCAGCTAGCAACATCTTCAGCCTGTTTAAGCGTGCTTCTTTTTTTCCTTACCTCCCCTTCTGGTTTCACAGAACGAACACCCGAATCCAAATGGCATGGATGGCGGTACGCCATACCTCAAGCCAACGAAACCGAGTGTTAACGGATCCCTTCCAATACCTGCTACTCACCCCTCCCGTCTGCTAGCTAGCTATTTTTTGCCCCCTTTTACCCCTTATTCTTTTCTTCAGCTTCGGCTTCGGCTTCTGCTTTGCTTTTTTGTTCATGTCTGCCCTTTTGATACCTCACTGCTATACCCTGCAATCTGCACTTTGTTGTACGGAAACACGGTCATGGTCATGGTCATGGTCATTGGTCATGGAACACGCGCGCCTACGATTGATTAATTACTCACTTACTTGGTTGTTTTGTTGCATTCGTTGATTGATGTTCTTGTTTGCGGCTGGTTGGCGTCTTATTTACCTCTTCCCCTTTCCCTCATCCCTTTGTCTTTGCCTTTTGATTTGCGTTGATACTCCCACTGCCATTTTTCCATCGGGTTTGGTCTGGATCCCTGCTTCCCATCTCTGAAGCGTTCCGATATCACCATGACCCCTTTCATCGTCTCCCTTCTCGTTACCCCTTTTTTTTCCTCCTTCGGCTTGTTCCATAGTAAGGAACCGCATAATTCGGACTCGATCCACAACTTTTTAACCTGCATCTACTCTCGCCGCGCATTTCAACAACTGCTCCTTGTTTCGAGTTTATCAACATCAACCATATAGCCATGCGAGCATGGACTTTCGAAACAAGCAAAGCAAAGAGTAAGGGAGGAAGGGGGTTCGATACAAACCATCGTCCCTGGCCGGGTCCTATCAAATCACTTTTACGTCTGCTTCTATCGAAACTACCCATCAACCCACCAATATCCTCTGCACCCCATTGAGCATTTCATCCCTGCTAGTTTCCTCCTTTTTCTCATCTGCTTCTTTTTTTTTTTTTCCTGCACACTATAAAAACGGATAGCATGTATACCCCATTTTCCCCCCTTGCATTAGTTTTCGTCCCTGTCGTTACCGGGTCTCTGTTTGGTTTGCCCTCTTCTATGTATTCTCATTCTCAACTCCCATTCTTATTATAATTACGGATCTGGCTCCTTTTTCTTCTTTCTTCTATATGATGGATAACCGCCTTCTTACAGTTAGAAAGGGGGGGGAGATTCCATCCGTTCAATCAACCCATTCAGACAACCCTCACACTCCTTACAACAGCTCGATTTCCTTTCCTTCGTTTTTTTTCTTTTTCTTTCTTGGTTTCTTTCCGTCCTTTTTTTTCTCTTCTTCATCTTTAAGCATAGCTTTGTTCTTTTTTCTCGATGTAACTTCGCTTCTACTTCTCCTGTCTCTGCCCTGGTTAAGGCAGACCAGATATTCCCCCTGCCAGCGGGGACTTTATTCTTCTATCTATCTATATCATTCGCATCTCTCCAGAGGGATTATTTATTTACTTATTCGCTTATTCTATTCTTCTACCGCTACATCTCTGATTGCTCGTCTTCCGTGACTTTGCTTTTTGTGCTACGGTCATACACGTTTCCATTCGCTGGGTATACTTGAGGGCGGGTTCATCTACGCTGTGGTCTCCTTCAACAAACCAACCAACCAACCAACCATGGAAATGGATATCGTACTACGCTGGTCAAGGGGACCATGGGCTTCGGGGGGTAACATTCCCTTCTTTCGTTCTTTGGGGTTTGGTGGCTTTATATCTCAGCTTCTATTTCAGCGAACTTCCTAGCCCAAGGGAGTGCATTAGATAGTTAGTGTTGGATATTTTTCTTTCTTCCTCTATTTATTAAAATCCTCGTTTCTGCCTGCTTTATTATCTACGATTGGTGAGACTGTAAGATTACTACTAAATATCGAATTAATATCAACCTTGCTACAATGGACGTTGATAAGCTATTATTACTTACTATTTGCTAACTAATTAGTTTGCTCTGAAAGATAAAAAAACATATATGTTAACCTAACCTGTCCTCTCCTGACCATGGTATCTTCAATGCACGATGCAATAAAATGATAAACAATCACTCCTGCCGATGGCGAAAAGAACCGCTGCCTATAAGAGAAGAAGAATAAGAAAAGGGGGGGGGGGGGGGAGTTAGAAGGCAACAGCTATAAAGGCATCCACAAGAAGAGAAAAGAACTAGTCAAAGGCCATGCATGCGTACATGCATATGCGCGTTGATGCCACCACCACCCGCTCCATACGGCCGAATGACTTTCCGCCTGCCGGGGATGCTGGCCTGATTTCTTTGTGTCTTGAAGTCAAGGGTTAGAGGATATAACAAAAGGCTAAGTCGGGGATGAAAAATGCAGTTTTTCTTTCTTTCGGTTTATTATTCGGTGTGGTTGGCTCCAACATCATTACCACGGCCCCCATTGTTCATCATGTGCTCCATAAAGGTCATGTAGTCGTACTTCGCGACATCCCTGTCCTCCAGGAGGTCAGGCCCCGTGTGCTTGGGCATCGACTCTACTAGGTTCTCGATAAGTTCATCCGGTATGAGGGAGTGCCGAAGATCAAGCTCGGTAACATATGGCTGTGGTAAGTGTAATTAGCCGACTGACATACATGCAAGTTGTAAGTGGGTAGTTGGGAATAAAACAGTTCCAAGGAGAAAGGGCAAAATTCAATGGTGTTTATTACCTTCCCGTCTGCTACCTCCTTGAAGCTCTGAAGGACCTGTTCAGCCGTGTGTTGATCCTCAGTGACGCTGACCATGAACCGGATGAACTGTTCAAAGCTGACGCCAGCGTTTCTCTCCAGACGGTTCGGACCACAGGTCTCCACGAACACCTCGTGCATCTCGTCTTCGTCGTATACCAAACCCAAACTGGCTAATGCAGCTGAGAATTCTATCTCATGCAAAGTGTTTGTTGAATCCCGGTCAAAGTGTCTGAATACAGACTCGAATTCTTCAAGCTGTATTGGGGTTAGATTGGTCATGTTCCTCGCAACCATTTGGTTTTCCAAGAATGCTAGCTTCTTTGCTACGCTGGATTTGACAAGGCTCAGTTCATAGGAGAGCTCTTCAAAGGTGTAGGTGGTAAAGTCATTCTCTTCAATGTTAGCTTCTGCGCACTGTTCGTCGAGGTCCTCTATTGTTTCTAGGAATGCGTCTAAAGGTGGAAGGTTGTCGCTTAGCCGTCGAACGTGCGTTAGCTGATCTTCAACGTCTCCTTCGAGACCCGAGATCGCCAGCGAAAGCGTGTTCAAGGTTAAGGCGAAATCATTAGCCTTGTCCGCAAACGATCGCCGAAGGGCATTTTTAATATCACGGATAGTTTCGTTAATCAACTGGCTTCGTTTGTGCTCATAGGTGGTTAAACTGGCCCATTCTTCATCCAAGACCTCTAGCCTGAGTTCTGGTGGTGGATCATAGGCCCGCAGTCGGTAGGTGCTCAGCTTCGTCTTGATATTTCCCAGGAGGGCAGCAAGGTCAGACTTCTCAGCAACCCATTCGCGCTTCTGGTTCTTTTTGTACGCGGCAAACTCGCTGGCCTGTTCTTTGGCATCGGCGTATGTGCCTTCAAAAGTAGAGTTAAGCCACTTCTCCTGCTGAGCAGCAATGTTCTTCAACAAAGCCCTCATCCGGCGCTCAAAGGAGTTTTGCATCTCCCATGCTCCTTGCATGTTTTGAACGAACTTCTCAACACGTCTGCCGGCATTCTCAACCTTCTCAAGTTGTGAAAAGGCGTGGAACCAATAGGCAATGTAAGTCATCAGGGATCGCTCGTCTGGCTTTGCAACATCACACACGTCCTCTACGTCAAGCAGATCCGGAATGCCAATCTCCTCTGCAGCAATGTCAAAGGCCAGCTGCATGTTCTTCCTATGTTCGGTCTTGTCTAGTGAGTCGAAATCGATCAGGTCGGGCCTATGGATATCCAGCAGGGCGCAGAACGCAAGCCCATCGTTCCAGCTTGAGGAGAAATCCCGCACTTCCACTCCTGGATAGCAAGCAGTTTTCCGTTGACACCATAGCAACAAGCCCTCTTTTGCCGTCATGCCCTCCTCGTTGATGTCGCTGATCGTGAATCGCAGAATGAGGGTCCATATTAGGCCGAGTATTATCTTCCTGTTTCCGTCAACGATATCTTCTGCACCAATGTTGGTCATCTGTATCCCCCTCCCCTTGATAAAGTCGAGACATTTATTCGCATTTTCGAACTTTTGTACTCGAAGCTTTGGCTTTGAAGCATATCGGCCCAACGACTCGTTCCCCAGTATCTCGAGGATGTGGATTAGGATAACCTGTGTCGAGCCGCACACATTAGTACCGTGATAACTCTCGTCGTCATCGTCCGAATACTGACTCCATCTGAAAGGTCTTCCACCAGGTCATTTATGGCGATGTTCCGGATCTTGAGCTTTGTGTTTAACCTAGAAGCAGCAGCAGTTTAGCAAACCTGACACTAATGTAGGCCACGATAGACGCTATTAAACCGTAAACTCACCATTTTGTGAATGTCTTTTGCTGGACATTGATCCATTGCTTCTCTACGGTCAACATTTTTCAGATAGCGGCACAGAAAAGTGGCGGGCCCTGGCCTCTGTTTGGGCCCCTGTAACAAAAACAACAAACGCTGCAACCACCAGTAGGGAGTAATATTGGTAGACTAGCAAATGTCCCGGGCTAGGATCGACCGCACTAGAGCCCTTGAAAGCAGAAATGGCGCAGAATCAACCTTGGAGTGAGTGTACCTGGCCAAATTGAATGTTGGTGGAGGTGGGTGTTTTTCTTGTCTCATTGCGCTGGAGTTGACGAGGGAAGAAGAGCGCGCGCCAAGGCCGACAGCCGCGGGCGTCAAACGGGTGGCTGGCGGGCTTTTCGTCGTGCTGGGTCCAGCCAGGCCTGCAGTCCAGCAACAAGCAAGAGACTTTGTTTGCTTGCCATTCTTTACTGGTGGATGCCGTTATGATCCTCTAGCAAGTGTCGATTAACGGCCGATGTTGTTCCTGTTGTGGTTGATGATGATGCCTCCCCCGCGGGTTTCCCTGCTCCGTGCTCGATAGTTACCAACAGGATGATGTCATGAACGTTGGAAGGCCTAATTAATATGTCTAATACGGTGGTCAATTTACTTATCTTATCCGGACCCTGCTGGGCTAATGCAGGCTGCCGATCTTGCGGGAGCTGTTCGGGCCATTATTTGGTCGAAGAGAACTAGTTTTCTTCGCTGGTAGTCGTGGTAGACGGCTGATATACGGCAGGGTAGAGTACACGCCATCAATCCACCATCTACATGAACCAATTTAGATGATACCAGGATCCCCAGTATCAAAAATAAGGATTGTCTTAAGAGGGAGCCGTTATAGCAATCTCCCGTGCTAGATTGAACGCCGCTGACAGAATATTGACGGGGGAAGGATGAATCCTAAGTCGTCTCTCCCGGTCCGAAACGATACCCTGCTAGAACTCCACGGGTGAATACTGGTTGGAAACCCATAGTATCGACTATCGGGATCGTACAAAAGCTCTGGCCACTAACATACGACTGTATTGAAAGTGGTCATTTGAGTACCCTGGCCGCCTAGGTTCGTCAGCAGTTGCATTCGCTAGTTACACAGCTACTATATATATATATATATATATAACATCACAAGCCTCAATGAGCCTCCCGAGACGTTAAACAAACAAATCAAAAGACTATGATACAAGCATATGAGGCTTGTTCAGGGGAAGGGGCCATATATATAATAAAGGTCGACCTGACGGTACGTCTCCAAAAAGGTTATGGCTCACAACTTAAACGGCGGTATTGAGGCCAGAAAGCGCCAGTGGAAGCATCAATCCTTACGGAAAGGCTGCCGGGTTTAAGATTAGAGTTGGTACGACATAAGTATGGGGTTGGCTCTTTGCTAGAAAGGAACCAGTCATAACGGGCCAATGGTGAATTTGATCTGGGAGACGTGCATCCCATCTAGAGATCCGGATTCACTCTCCCCTAGGCATACGTTCACCTTTTGCAGTATATGGGGCACGTCAAACGTATAGTTGTGATCTCGACCAGCCATCTCACACAGGATTAGGGGAGGTTCCAGCAAACAATGTACCCCAGAGGTGCCACTGTAGCTCAAGGATGATAGGGGAGCCACATCAGATCATCTCTGTTGCCATTGAAGATATGACCAGTCGGTGGCTCTTCCTAATGGTCTAGCCGAAGGGGATATCACAGTCACAGAAGAGGCTGATGATCGCCATATCGATGGGTCTCCCACCAACTAGTTATGTAGATGCGAAGTGAGTACGAAGTACTCCGTACTAGGTAGGAGTCAAACAGTAGTTGGAAATCGACTGGTCGTCGCCAATTCTCTGCAGTATCCGAAAAGGGTAGCGAGAGTAGAGTTAAGTAGTTTACTCCACAAGTGGCTTGAAAGGCTTTGAATTTCTGCATGTAAGCATATTCAATGGTAGAAGACTGTTTTCGAACACGGTATCAAGACCAGACAGTTTGATATCGTCATTTCGAAAGACGATGACAATAATGCGCAGGGAAGATGGATATATTCAAGGGTATATATGATGCCTGCCGAGAAGAATGAATGATGGCCCCCTTCGGTCACCATCTTTCTTGCATAACTGAGAGGAAGAAGACCCTTGTGGCATGGAGAAACTGATAGGCTAGCCTTGCCGAGTGAACTCAATACCAAGAAATTCGCTAGAGGATGGATTTTCGGACAAGACATGATCCATCATCCACCCACCTGCAAGAGAAGGGACTGGAGAACGAAGAACCCCGGCGGAGGGACCCAGGAAGCGCATCCATGGAATACGGAGAAAGCAGGGGGAAAATCGCCAGGAAAAACCATGGTCCTGTCACCATGATCACCATCACTCTGTCTTGTCTCTCCAACTACTTTTTACTAGCTTGGTATGCTCGCTAGCCGAACACCAAGAGATCCAAGTGATAGATAGAATAAAAAAAAAGACTTACCAGACTGAGTACTGACTTACTTATGTGAACAGGGCCCCTCCCCCCCTTAACTATCAGTAGTATGAAAGAGGCGCAGATCAACCAGCAAGCAGCGAGAAAAATAAATAAAGGGTGGCCGCCCGTCATCAGACGCGATGTAAATCGGATCAACGCTGCGAAAAATCAATAGTTTTCCCAACCACGATATTGGCTCCATACGGCGTCTTTGAGAAGGTCGGGGTGGCTTGATCGGTTAAGGTGAATACTACTATTTTTTTTTTTCTTCATAATTCATTGCTGTCGTCGAACTCGGGGGAAAGAAAGGGGGTTGGAAGAAAAATGTTCTAGAAAAGTTCGATGAAACCTTCCTTGTCAGCGGAGATAAACCCACTTGTGTCAAGCTGGTGGACTGTTTTATGCAGGTGTATCGCTATAATTGGGCGCCTTGCTTATAACAAGAAGTCGTTATGCAAGCGGCTGTCTGGAGCGCTACTTGATAACGCCTTATCGTCCTTCTTTTTCTTGTTGTATATAGAATACGAGCGAGCAGCTGTCTCTCTGAGGCTGGTCTTCTGCATGAAATCATAATAAAATGGAGACAGGTTACTCCATTTATGTAAGTAAGTAGCGCAACCATGAGATAGTATCGTTCAGCATGTCAGCAATTCCCGTAAATAGAGAAGGTCTGCAGCAGGGATGTCGAAGGCCCTTCCCCACCCGCTAGACGTGAGCATTGCGGGCCCCCTGGGAAATTGGCCTGGGTCGCGCAAGTCGGAAAGACGAAAATCGCCTGTCTTTTTTTTCGTTCTTCTCCATCCTTCCGATCACCCTTCTTTCATGACGTTTTTTTTCTCTCTTCTTCGTCTTCTTCTTCTCCCTCTGCGGCGCTTCCTTCGAGCGCGGATTTAGGTAAAGCCACTAAACCCAATGCGGCAAGTGATCGACCGGGAAGGTATAAAAATAGTCTCTCACGTGATATTAAGGGGTATATCACGTGATATAACTTTCTCGACGGTCCCAGAGGAAGGACGCGAAAGGAAAAAAAGGGGGAAGGGAGAAAAAGTAGAAAAAAAAAGTTGGAAGTCGGGTGACGGCCGGTCGGGGTGGGTGATGCGGAGTGTACACTACTCCCGTAAAAGAGCCCGTCGGTGCTGTTCATGCAGGGCCGGCTCGCGAGGCGCTGGGATGAAACATGTTCAGGAGGAGTCGAGTTGGAAGAAAGTTTGCTGTGTGTACACCTCTTATGTATCAGGCTGAGAGACGATATCGCTTAGAAATTGGAATATAACATAAAAAAAGAGCCCGTGCATGAGGAGACAACCAGGGCAGAATAATATGGTAATATTCTATCTGATAGTTCGACTCCTCGAGGCTGGCGAGGCTGGCAACGCAGTTCGATTGCCGGAGACGTTGCTTGCTTGCATGCTGGGGAGACCAGACAAGACTGGCTGGTGGCACCTGTGTTTCAGGATTCTCTGGTCCGAACCACTACGAGATCGTGAGATGCTGCAGCATTCTGTGCTGTGTATGGAGTACATGTGAGGGGTTCATGCTGCTGTCGTTCACCCAGAGATTGATTGACTGATCTTCTGTTTGTATTATTGTTGATTACCGGCTGACCTGATGAGATCTTATATTGATATTGTATACTCCGTACTGATGACACGCATTAGCACCAGCCAGTCTTATACTCCATAGCTACTCCGTAGGCTCACCACTTGCATTCTCTTGTTTACCATCGAGGACATGGAAGTACTGAGGTCATCCAAGGACCAGAGGATAAGGTTGAAGGCCGCAGCCCCCCTCGCTGGCGAATGAGCCGTATCGACGACGCAGAAGGATCTCCACCCAGCAGCGAATGGGCTTTCCAGGCTCTCCTGGTGCAGTCGGAGGCTGTGATCCTCGCATTCACGCCCAATCACACCGGCCAGCAGGGCTGACAAGCATCTCCAACCCGTCCTTCCTGCTGTACTTACAGTATCGATACGGCGGGGGGGGGGGGGGCTGGCGATCGCGAGGCTTGCTCTGCCTGTCTGCCAGCTCCATCGCAACCGTCTCCGCCGTCTGCCTGTCCGTCTGTCGCCCGCCGCCGCCGCCGTCCGTTGCAAAGGAAGCCGTCGATGTAAATAATAATAATAATGGAGTAGCCTAAATAAAATAGCGCCCTAGCTGCACCCGCGCCAGGTATCGCCCGGGACTAGCGTATTGCCAATACCGCTAGGGGTGGTCGAGCCAGCCAAGCGCGCACTTCGCTGCCCTTGCGCGGCGGGTCGGCTGTCCCGATCGGGCATGGCGCCGTAAGATGCCGGGGCTGCTGTACTGTCACGCCGCCGTCACCGCGCAAGGGCAAAATTACGGCGTTCCGCTCGCTTTCTTTTCTTCGTCGCTTTTTCCGCTTCTTCCTCTTTTTCTCCTCGCCTTCGACCTTCGACCTTGACCAGAAGACTCCACGTCGAGCCAACCCAGCAACGACCGCCCATCGCCGCCCTCGACAGCGACCTCGACCAGCCAGCCGTCCGTCTCTCGAAGAAAACGGGCCGACCGTCGTCTGTCGCATCGCGTTCATCGCTCTCTCTCTCTCTCTCTCTCTCTCTGCCCCCTCGCCGTCGACGCCGTTCTGGCCGCCTGCTCCCAGGGGCTCCTTTGTTCGTTTTTTCGCCGGGTGTTGTTCTCTGCCCTTTGCCACGAACCACCATCCCCTTTTGTCCGGTCTTAGGCAGAACCCTCGCTCCTCGCATCGCCGGGTCAGCTACTAATATCGCGCTGCAGTTCATAATAATAATAATGTGAGTGCTGTCCTTGCTCAGAACACTCTCCCTCGCTTCGTTTTGCCAGCGTTCTCTTCCCGCTTCAGCCCTCGCTCTTCTCTTCTCTTCTCTTGCCCTTGGTTTTGGGGGCTGGAACCTCAGGCCAGCAGCATATTTGAATACGGATTCGCTTCCATCTCTCTCTCTCTTCTCTTCTCTCTCGCTGTCTCTCTCGCGTCCTGTCTCTGCCCTTCTGCCATCGCTAGTTATATTCTCGAAGGGAGAACGGAAGGGGGAAAAAAACTTCAAAAATTCAGCCGCTAGAAAGACGTCTCTTCTAACCGTAGTGTCATCAAGCAGATCCTCCATCTTCGATCACATTCCTACATCTACATCATACTGTTGATCGAGTTTCCGTTTGATAAACCGCCAAAATGGGTTGCGGAATGAGTACTGAGGATAAGGAGGGGAAGGCCAGAAACGAGGAGATCGAAAACCAGCTTAAGAGGGACAAGTTGATGCAGAGAAATGAAATCAAGATGCTTCTGCTTGGTAAGTTGTTGGCTGGCTTCTTCTGGTGATGGTGCAGCTGCTGACCAGAGCCATCACACACACAACAGGTGCTGGAGAGTCTGGAAAATCTACCATCCTGAAACAGATGAAACTCATCCACGAGGGATCCTACTCTCGCGATGAACGCGAGTCGTTTAAAGAAATCATCTTCAGCAACACCGTCCAGTCCATGCGTGTCATCCTCGAGGCCATGGAGAGTCTGGAACTTCCGCTCGATGACCAACGGGCTGAATACCACGTACACACCATCTTCATGCAGCCAGCTCAGATCGAGGGTGACTCTCTCCCTCCAGAGGTTGGTGCTGCTATCGAGGCCCTGTGGAAGGATGCTGGCGTTCAAGAGTGTTTCAAGCGATCAAGAGAGTACCAATTGAACGATTCTGCCAGATAGTATGTCTTACAAGTTCTCCCCCTTGGATTTCTTTCTTTTTTTTCCTCCCCCTTTGGGAAGAATCAAAAATACTAACCACTAATTACCTAGCTACTTCGACTCCATTGGCCGAATTGCCGCCCCAGACTATCTCCCTAACGACCAGGACGTCCTTCGCTCTCGTGTCAAGACCACTGGTATCACCGAAACAACCTTCATCATCGGTGACCTTACCTACCGCATGTTCGACGTCGGTGGCCAGCGTTCCGAGCGTAAGAAGTGGATTCACTGCTTCGAGAACGTCACCACCATCCTCTTCCTTGTCGCTATTTCAGAGTACGACCAGCTTCTGTTTGAAGATGAAACCGTCAACAGAATGCAGGAGGCTCTCACCCTGTTCGACTCCATCTGCAACTCGAGATGGTTCATCAACACATCCATCATCTTGTTCTTGAACAAGATTGACCGATTCAAGGAGAAACTGCCTGTCAGCCCGATGAAGAACTACTTCCCTGACTATGAAGGTACGTTGTCTCCACTCCGTTTTTGTCCAAGCTCGTCGTCCAATTTCGTTTACTGACACAAAACGCTCTAGGTGGCGCCGACTACTCTGCTGCTTGCGACTACATCCTCAACCGCTTCGTCTCATTAAACCAGGCCGAGCAGAAACAAATCTACACACACTTCACCTGTGCCACTGATACCACCCAGATTCGATTCGTCATGGCTGCTGTCAATGGTATGTTGTCACTGCTCTCGACCCTTTGGATGAAAGCTCTTTCTAACAATACATCCAGACATCATCATACAAGAGAATCTCCGACTCTGCGGTCTCATATAATGCATCTCTTTTTTTTATCAAAGAAAAAAAAAAAAAAAGAAGTCCCAGCTTCCTGACCTCTACCCGGGTCGTTGTCTTTCTTTTGCTTGTCTTACGTGTATTTGATATCCCAATAATTAACCTGCTAAAATTCCCCCAGCAACCAACGCGCTACGTCTCCCGCCTTTTTCAGTTTTTCCCGTCCCTCCAATCTGCTTTGCGTGGCTCTGCGGTCTTTCACTCTGCTTTTTCTCTTTTTACCATCAAATCCCAGGCGTCTCGTTGACCGTTGAGTCTATGCAACCCCCCCATCCTCCATTCTTGGATTACTAATTTCCTACTAATATGTCCATTGCAACGCACGCAAGGATATCCTCGTTTTTCCTTCCACCGACTCCCTTGCTTCTCCTTCCCCTTTCTTCTTCAGGGACCCATCCATCTCTTCGCTACTCCACCAACAAAACCTCACCATCACCAATCAACTAACCAACCAACCAGTCAGCTCTCGCTGATCTCTATGCCCTACACCATACCTTCAAAGTATCGGTCGGCATATTTACGGATTCCACGTCTATTGCTTTTTCTTTTTCTTTTTTTTTGCCCTGTTCTTTTTTTGTTTCGAGTGTTCTGTCACTTTTTTTCCCTGTTTTCCTTGGTATATCCTCAAGTTTTCCCTCACCCCTCTCCCGCCGTCTTTCATTCAAAGGTATTCCCCCCTTTGCTTTCATCCTGTGTCTCCTTATCTCTCTCACCTGTGGGGGTAAACCTGTACAATTTCTCAAATGCAATTCTCTTCCCTTATCTCCATGTCGGTACGGAAATCAGGAGGGTAACAATGGCCGTAAATGCTACTCTATAATTTTTGTTATCTTTTCCTTCTTCTCTTCTCTGTCCTCTCTTCACCTTGTCTTTCTCTTTTTTCCGACTTTTTGTGTTTTCCTGTGTCTCCTCGCATCTCTCTACCGCTTGTTAGTTTTTGGCGAAGTTTTTTTTTTATAGAAAATGATAGCAATTCGATGACGTTCAACATGACTCCTTGACTCTTATCTTAATATCCTATATATTATTATATTAGGGATACACCTTGAACCAGTTCATAACCTCGCTAAAGCATAACTTCGTTCAAACAAAAATACGGGTATATAGTTACAAAGTACAACCCGCTCAAAAAGCACATCCCATTTCCTCAGAACCTCAGTTTGGGCCCAACATATACAATCATAATAGCCACAATCCACAGCCCAAATATCCATAAATACATCAACATCCTCCCCCACCATCCTCTGCCCTCACTCATCCGTCGAAGCATACTCATCTTCTGCCCCGCCGATTCCAGACCAGTTGTATTCCTATCCAGTCCCTCCACGGCACGATCTATAATCGACTTTTCCGACTCAAGAGTTGTATTGAATGTCTGCGTCGAGGTCTTCAGCTGCTGGGCAAGCATGAGCAAGGAATCCGTTAGTGACTCCTGTTCTTGGCGATCTTGGGCCAGGGAGGCTTCTGGATCGAGATCGATTTCTTTTCTGGAGGGATCTCGGGGGCGGAAATAAGGGTTGGGGCTCGGGGCGGGCTTTAAGGGACCCGTGGGTGTAGACGTTGTCGGGTATGCGGAAGTTGTAAATGCCCCTGTTGATCTGGCGGCTTCACTAGGGCGGATGGCCGTATCTGTTGGAGTTTGAGTGGCTGGTATTGTATTTCGGTTGCGTAGCGTGTTTGAACCATGTGCTTCGCTGTGAGTTGATGCGGAACCGTAGGAGGAGGATGGTGGCGTGGGAATCACGGAACTCATGCTTGCTTCTGATGTAGCTGATTGATCCTGTGCTTCTGCCGGTCTGGATTCGTCTCTTATATTCGCGGAATTTGTTGAGGCCTGTGAAGATATGTTTTCTGGCGTGATGCTGTCTTGTGGTGTGGGGAGGATGTCTTCTTCATCTTCGGATGAGTAGACGCTTGCGTCCGCTATGTATTCGGAGGAGAAGGAGGAGGCGGTGGTTGTATTAGCCGCTGCCGTTGCGCGAACATGTGCCTGGGTGCTGAGATCATCTAATCTCTGTCGAAGTATCTTAAGCTGTTGCCTCTTCTGTGAAAGGTCCGATTGAACGGTTTGTCTGCGTTGCGGGTGTTTTATATCTGCCGAGTTTCGCTCAAGCTGGAGTAATAAGTTGCGGCCATATTCTATATTCTAAAGCGGATATCAGTAATCTTCTCACCATTATCGAGAATAAAACTAGTGTGTTTGAAGGAGTAAAATGCCTTACAGCACCAACGCGAGCTCTATGATATTGTGACCTTAGCAGGGGCTTCAGGTCTGCGGAAGGCGATAGTATGTTGCTTTCCAGCCGAGAGAGTAACTGAGTGAGATTTATAGAGGTGGTATTAGGGGATGAATATGCTTCTGATAGCTTCCGCGCCATTGCGAGTACAATAATGATAAGCCGTTCAGCCAATTCGAGGGGTTGTCTCGGTTCCTTTCTGGTTCGTCCCTTGCGGTTCCCGTCTTTTTTTTGATAACCAACACGTTTATCTGCCAAACGCCAAGACTTTATGCCAAGAGATTGATAACTTTGATTAGTCACCCCAGAATTAGCACTTTGGAGAGAGCGGAAGTTCCCGACGTCCACAAACATCTCTAAGCGAAGGGCCAGGGGGTCATTGCTGTATTCCTTTTACTGCAAAGCATGGAATAATGACACGGCCGATATCATTAGCTGGATGATGCTGAAAAGTAGTATGGACAGCTTGCGCCACAGGTGTTTATATATGACCCATAATATCCTCGGCGCAGCCAGTGTTTCATGGATCTGATAGTTAATTGAATATTCACAACTAGAAGGGAGGCTATATACAAGCTCTAACTCTGAACCAGCGGCAAGGACGGGATCGATTCTGCTAATTCGTTTCCCATGGCTTCTTGGTAACCCCTTCGATGTACACGCCACCCCTTGGTCGCCACATGCAAGCGTTGTCTACTGGCAACAGCCGCTCTCGAGCTTCCTGGAATTCCTTCTGCTTTTCTTCCGAAAGACCCTCAGGCATAGGACAGTCTACGCTCCAGGCATCCGTTACGATGAAGCCCCGACGCTCGTAGACCGGACGTCCATAAGGAGTCGCATCCAGCCAGCATTCAAAATTCAACTCTTCGGCCTTATCCAAACCCCATTTGAGGAACAAAGAGCTCACGCCGCGTTTACGATATGATGGTATCGTAAATGCAATATTCAGGACTGATAGTAAACAGTTAGCCTTGTCACCCGGAGAATATAAGACAACCTGGTACTTACAGACATGGGGTCTCCTCGCTTTCTTCGCGCGAGGGGCAGTCGTATCTCGGAGGTATTTATTTGCAATAATCCTTTCCATAGAGCCCTCTGGATACCAGTCTGCCACGACTTTTCCTTCATCATACGTCTCGTACGGGTTTTTCTGGTGGATTTTCCATAGTGCAGCGCCGGCAATTTTGTTGTTCGCATCCGCATCAACAACCTTCACCCACTGAGCGACGGGAAATTCGTTCCTATACTCCTCCTGGAAGAACTTGATGCTATCCGCAAGACTCTTTTCCCTGTCGTTGTTGAAAATAGGACAGAATATGCGGAAGAACTTCTGGTGAGGTTCCTCGTAGGCTTCCCATAGAGCGGTGACTAACTCCGGGAAGTCGTCCTCCCCAACCAGCTGCAATTCCAGGAGCATTATTTATTGCTTGATACTAGGTCTCGCTTGGTGATGATTAAAATTTTAGAGACGGCGTAAAGTAAACTGCCCTTCTCGGGGTATCTTATATATATGCCACCGGCGAACCAAAACCATGGGTCAAGGTGGAGATACTTTTCATGGTTGCTTGGTCCCGGCCGGAAACTACCCGTGGCCTGCACATCTTCGGTGCAGAAAAGATGACTCAAAAGTCGTATGGATGCATTGCACACAGAGTATAAGCTGTCCCTGAAGGTCTCGCCTGCAAAATCTGAAGAAGTTTTGCCACGCAAGTGGCTTGTGCTGCTGCTCTTTGAGTGTTGACAAATCCCTTACATACTTTGTATTATTAATTGTTGCATCTCGAGATCGTATATCACTCGCACTTGACTCAAATATATGCATGCCATGACTTTGGTAGTGTTATTTGGTAGAGAGACTCGTATTGTGAAGGAAAAGGAACGGTTCGGGGTCATTGCAAAGACGCCACGTAGTGGGATAAAGGGGTACAACATAAGAAGTCTCTATCCAGAAAAAAAAAAAGCCCAAAGATGAAGGTTTCGTTGAGGGTATCACTTCGTAGTCGGTACATCACCCTGTGTATACAAGTAAAAGAAACACAATAACCAATTAAATATCACCACATTAGAACCCAAACGCATAATCAAGTAGTTCCTGCTTTGAAAGAACTTGCACCACTAATGGTACTCCAGCACCTTTCTCCTCCAGTTTTTTCGAGACGTCGATCCCACTTCTCTAAATATCTGAACGGCTTCTTTCTGAAGCCGTGGTGCATCAGGGTGGGCTGACGATGATTCTGGCTGCGTAAATTCCCTCTCGGACAACGTCATTGTGTGGTTTTTCATCTCCTTAGCCGCTGATGGTAATGGCAAGCTCGTCATATCGAGCGGCTGTAGAGGCCCTGGATTGGAGAGTGATGGCGCTTCGAGGTGACCGGAATGGTTCTCACCAGCCATAGCAGGTGGAACTTGGCTATTGGGAGGGGAAGCTTCTTCGATCGATAGGCGAATCTGGAGTTTCTCGCCCGTGTGGTTGGAAATATCAATTGCCCGTGAGTACTTTTTGGCGCTCGAGTCTTCAGAGGATGCCATTTTGCGCCCTTGGACCCGTCGTATAATGGCAAATACGAGCAAAGAAAATGGTAAGAGGAGTAACAGCCGGGAATGAGGAGATATTCGTGAAGTAGGTAGTTGGAGGTATCCTTGCTTGATGGGAGCCATGGTGAGAAAATAGTGGCTACTTTTATAGGGAAACAATGTTGATGGCGAACGGAAAGGAGTTGAGTAATTTTTATTTTGCCTCCTTGGATATCACTTTGAAGAAAGCGTTGAAGTATGCAGTAATGGAGGCAAAGAGGCCGAATATCCATGCAAACGCAAGCGTAAGTTGTTTATTTCCACAATCCAAAAAAGGAATAAGAAAGATATATCTATGGCAGAAGGCGACAGATATATACAGTTGAGGCAGCAGCTCTAGAGTCGACGATCAAGCCGGACCAGAGATCCATGCATCTAAGCTAAGAGAGAGGAGAGAAAAAGCAAGAAGAGAAACAAGGTAAAAAGAGGGAACGCCGCATAAGTAGGCGTCATCTAGCCTCTATTACGCTTGAATGAGGTCAAAGTTGACCACCCAGCAGTCAACAACCGTCAGTCTCTTGTAACGGTGGGCCCGTTGGAGCTTCGAGGAAAGGGTCGCCGAAGTTCCCGAGATCCCATAGCCCGCGGCTCTGGATCCACATCAGCGAGACAACTCAGCTTTGAGAACTGCAGAGACCATCTTCTTCGTCTCTCAACGCGCAAAACACAGATGATCCTGGACGATTTTCAGAATGAGACTTACCACTATGGCAGGCCTAAGCGCCGTGGGAACTCATTCGGACGGAAACACCGGCATCATCTGAAGATCTCCGTGAAACAGCAGGATCCTTCCTATCATTCCACCTAGAACGCAAGGGGGTAGGAGTTTGGTATAGTGGTGGCATCCGTACGGGGCGTAGTGCTTCGCATGCTCGTACGTAGCACAGCACGAGCTTTGTCGAATAAGACAGATCTTGCCCCGCAACGACTAAAAAAATTGAGAGCTCGATCGACGCCACATTTCACAGGGATGGGTTCGTTGACGGTCTCTGGAAGTGCATTTGCTATTTTGAGGCTCATATTGAGTACTGGGGTTTCCTCAATACGGGCGTACTCCATACATATGAAAACTATCCCTCACTCCCAGTCGCTTAGATTACTCTCTTCTTGACGGTCGCATGCGCTCCCAGTCACATCTGAGCCGCAACAGGCGTACTCTGTCGTATTATTGCCCAGTAGGCTCGGGAGGGAGGGATTAGGGGAAGCGAGCAAGCTGAGGTTTGGGGTTGTTCTTCGGATTAGAAAAAGCAATAAGGGGAGTTCAGCTGGCGAGGACAACACCTTATCTTGACCGGGACTAGTGCCATGGAACACAGCCACGATTAACACGTGTTTATTTTTTCCTTCACCAGCCACACGCCACCAGCCACAGTACGATGAGCTAGGCTTCCTACTATATAGAAGCCGTCGGCCACTTTTGAAGAGGAAGAAACTGACTGTGCTCTAAGGATATGCCGGGGTAGCTATCAGCTCCAGATCTATGAGTCGATGTTTTTCGTCTGGCAGGAACTGTGGGCGTTGGTGCAAGCCTTGTTTTCCGCTTGATGGCTCAGAGCGTGTTGGCTTAGATATTCCCTGGGGGCATACCAAACGAAAAATATGGCGAGGTACAGATTCGAAGGAACCGGAGATCTAGGCTAATATCCCTGTGGATACCATCATACTGTGACGCCTGAGGTCGGTGTGCCTTCTTGACCAAGTGGAAGGGAAGGGAGAGGCTGGCTGAGGATGATGTAGCGCTACCTTTCCCCCACCTTTGTCTGAGCATGAAGCGGCTTAGAGTCAAGTATATCCCCACATCCGATATGACTATTTGCAGGGGGTGTTGATTTTAATTTTAGATATTGGGACCGTGAAAGCATGGAAGCGGGCATGGAAGGATTATTGTTTCCATAGTTCGAAAAACGTCACCTGTCGATATTTACTCCCATATATTCTGTTGATCCTCCCAAGAGGGGGAATACTGTGTCCAGAAGCAGGTTTTCCTAGTTGACCGGCCATTGCTCCGTTGTCGCTTCATAGTATCCTTGCCAAGGCTGTGAGGTTCTTTCATATCTGAGGGTTGCTTGTTTCTCCGAATAGAGATACAGCAAGGATGTAAAATCTGACCCTTGGCATGTCATTCTTGCGTGATTCAGGGCCTGACTGGCTACCTGTAATGCCCACACTGCTCCCCATCGACGTCGTTCAATATTACTGGAAGTCCCGAGGAATGTGTCTGCCTGGAGTCGTAGATCAAATGCCTGTACGCTGGGCAAGCCTGATGCAGGCCAAGATTGGGGTATATGAATGGCTAGACGAATTTTGTCTCTCAGCTAGTTACATGTTTGCAAGCTAGGCTCCGCCCATGCAGGCTCATGCACGGCCAACAGCTCATAAAATTGAGCACGGCTGGCAATAGGCGAGAAGTGCCGGTTCCTTGCATCACATATGATGCCATGGATACATGCCAGCAAACACAACAAGTAGAATCAAGTTGCAAGCTGTTCGTTGTCTCGGGCTCAGACGTTCGACGTCGTCAAAAGATGCTCAAAAGGGAATACCGGTCACGTGATGACTTCCAAATATTGAACGACGACGACGATGAGGACGGCGACAACGACCATGACGATGACGATGACGATGATGACGATGAGGAGGAGCACAAGGAAGACCACCGGCCAGTTCGGTTAGAACAAGGGTAGCCTGGGATGAAGACGTGAATCTATCTAATGCATTGATTATGCATGAGCTTGTTGTGTTACATAGCATTCTGCAAACCCCCTTCGGGGAGCCATCTGGTCCAGCAGGATTAGATCTCGCATGAAGCTAAGAGCCTATCTCAGCTGAAGGTGGCTTTTTCTCCTCATCTCTGACCTGGGCTCAGCATCTAAAGCGGGCAGATGCTTTCATTTGTGGTCTCAAGACCCGAGTATGACAAAGTGTTATGCCGTACGTGCATAGGTGTTGAGACTTCCGCTGTCCCATGGTCATTACGACCGGGGCCACGTTTCCCAAGTTTTTGCGAACGGCATTATACTTCGATTTGCTGATTCAAGCAGCTCTCAGCTGGCTCGAGGATTGATTTGATTAAGTCCAATAACATGCCGAGACAACCGTCTCCCGCAAGCGGGATGCTGCCCAACCACTCCTCCCACTGGGTGTACCAGCTACCACCCCAATGCTCCGGCCACTCTAGAGTTTGGCAGATACCTGGAGTGGTTCGTCTTGAAGCTCCTGAGCAGCTCTCTCTCTTAGAACTTTTCTAAGGATCTTTCCTGATGGATTCTTAGGGATATCCTTGACAAACACCACTCCGCCAGTGATTCGCTTCGTGGGAGCAACGTTTTGCTTCATGTAGTCGATGATTTCTTTTGCAGTTGCCTTCGCGCCGGATTTCAGGGTTATATATGCCCGCGGATACTCCTCACCGTCCCTATCAAAATAACTTGCATTAGGATAATCTTGACAGCACATTCTGCGGGGTCGCTGTATGGTTTTTCTCACCTGGTTATGCCAATGACAGCTGCGTCTGCGACTGATGGATGCTCGAGAAGTACCCCTTCTAACTCTGCAGGGGCAACCTGGTTTCCCTTCACCTTGATAAGCTCCTGCGGATTTGAGAAAAACAAACCTGGAGTTAGCGGAGTCTGTGGAGAAGAGTACAATTGGTGATGCCTCGTTACCTTCTTCCGGTCAACAATGAAAAATTTCCCCCGCTCTGTCACGTAACCGATATCCCCAGTTTTGAGCCATCCGTCTTCCGTTAAAGTTTCCCTGGTTGCTTCTGGCTTGTTCCAGTAGCCCTTCATGACGTTGGGGGCTCTGACCCAGATTTCGCCTCTTTGGTTCTCGCCGAGCTCTGTTTCACCGTCCTCGTCCATTATCTTACACTCGCAATTGGCATTTAGCTCTCCCACTGATGAACTGGTGCCCCGTTCATTTGGATCCCAGCAAAGAATAGTACAGGTAGCCCTGATCTACGTTAGTAACCATATACCCGCCGTGTCGTCTGATGCTACTACTATGTAGTAAAACAGATATTGAAGGGTAACTCACTCGGTCATACCCCAGCCCTGCCTGACATTGAGTTTCCCAGGAGGAAACATGGACTCAACTTCCTCACTGATTTCTCTTCCTAATGGAGCAGCTCCGGATCCAATTGACTCCAAGCTACTGAGATCGTATTTCTTCACCAGGGGATGTTTTGCTAGCGCAATCATGATGGGCGGAACAGTGAGTATCTCATTGATACGGAATTTCTGGATATTTTCCAACATTTGAACGAAATCAAACCGAGCCATGATATATACCGGGATACCTCGCCGGAGTGCGGACGCTATGAAAAAGTTTTGTGCCATGGCATGATACAACGGTAAGAAGCAAAGCCATCTGGACCTAGCAGTCTTATTTGTATAGTCGTGGTGGAGAGAGCCGGTATGGTCGAATTGAAGGAGGTTGGCCACATAGTTTCTATGAGTGATCTCTACCCCCTTGGGGAGGCCAGTTGTGCCGCTTGAATAGTTCAAGGCCAAGGTTTGATTGGATTCACCGGGAGCTGATAACGACTCCCAGAAGAACCGGCTGCCCTCAGCAGGGGATGCGATGAGGTCTCCCCAGTAACGGCAACCCCGGGCACCACTCCCCGTACCATCAAACACTGCACTATCAAATATGAATACCCTATCCAGGCTCATACCGATGGACTTTGCAGCTGCAATACCAGTATCCAGACTCCCCTCGGCGCACAGGAGATACTTTGCTCCACTGTCCTTTAACTGGTATGCCAGCTCTCTCGGGGTGTATGTGGGATTTGCACCAGTGAAGATGCCACCAGCCATCACAGTCCCCATGAAAACCACAGGAAAGAACAAGTCATTCGGAGAGAATAGAAGGACACGATCGCCTGTTTTTATCCCCGAGTTTCTCAATCCAACGGCGAACCGCTGGCACCAAAGACGGTAGTCATGGGGCGTGAAATAGTGGGTGTCGGGGCGGGCCGCATCAATAAAGCTGCATTTGGTCGTTGATAATGTCGCTGTCGGTGATCCAAAAATTACGGTAGGTAGTGATGCGTTGGGTATCTCCACAGACCATCTGGATTTGAACACCATCCTGAGCACAATGGGAAGAAGATATGTGATTCTGGAACCTTGTCAGCCCTATCAAAGTGGCGGAATTAAGGCCGCTGGGACCGTGGTGAACTGACCTAGTTATCGCCAACGCCCAGGTGTAGGATGGGAGATCAACAGCCTTTAATGTCCTTCCAGCTTTCTTATCTTCAGTCTGGGACAAACGGAACAGCAATGAGCTGCAGTTAAGAAAATAGAGATTTCAACCAAGTATAAGTAAGAAGACGGGTTCGGGCATCGCCCTGCTCCGCATTCACTAACTAGCGTTGACTTAAGCTCAGTGCATGCTCGGGTCTTTTTGTCTGAAGGGTTTCAACCGCGGATTTGCTTTCAAACTAGGCAATCTGTTTGGCCCTTTTGACTATAGCACAACAGCAGGTATAAATTTCTTCGGACACTAATCCTACATTTATATATGTCTCTTCCAGCATCTAGCTGCGGCAACACAGCAAGTACAGAACGAAAACAGGGGCCTCGCCATCGGTGGAGCGGATCTTCGAAAACGCCGTGTCTTTCTAGTTCGAGAATGGACCCCTTCTATGGAGAAGTCTCGCAGTTCCCACAGCGATCGAGGCCCTGACGACCAGATAAAATGTTATTATTATGGAACCAAGTTGAATACGGAAGGCCATGTTTGAGCTAAGGAAAAAGCCTTGGGCAGCGATTGCAACTGGGTGCGATTCGATTGTATGCTGGTTCTGGCCGCATAGCCGAATTGAATAATGATAATACCCTCCCAGGTGGTAAGCCTGCTCTCATACTACCGGAAAGATAGCCGACAAATAGATCCTCTCGCCCAAGCGACTTGGCCAGCGGGAGAGACCAGAAACCGAGGACCAAATACGATGTGCTGGCTTGACTAAGTATGGCTTGACGCCAAATCATGACATGCTTCCCTGCATAAACCTTGAGCCAACGATCAACGGCCAGCAGGCGAGAAAATCAGTCAAAAAATGGAAGCTTCGCCGAAAAAAAAAAAAAAGAAACGACAGATTGCCTCTAACAAAGCGAGCCTATATTATTCCCGCGCGTCTCAAGTCGTACAAAAGGCCCTTGGGCGTTGGAATGCGGTTGAATACTCCATTATTCTTCGTATGGTGGCTGTTAAAAAAAGAATTCTAGCAAGGAATACTCCGTTAATAAAACAAGACAACATTGACATTCAAAATGGCTCATATACAACTAATCATCACTTCCAGCGCCCATACATGCAATAGCTGTTTGAAGCTCTTTCACTATCTTCTCTTCCAACAAGTTCTCCGCACCACTCGATGGATTTAGAGGTGGTCTCTGCGCCCAGGCGGCCTCTTTTTCATTCGTCGGCGTGATACGCGAGCGTAGGACTGAACGCTTTTCCAGCAAAGCGTCAATATCGTCTTTCACCTGCGCTCTGTCCCACTTTAGGTCTTGGATATTCTGCGGGTCTACACCTGCGCTTGGTCCTGCATCACGGAATTTCTGGATAATCATCGAAATCAATGCAAGAGAACAGGCTTCAGTTGCCATTCCAAGGGATAGATATCTGGAGTGATGGCTCATAGCTAGACTGGAGCTGGGAATGGCGGTTGGGTTGCTAAGTGAGAAGCCAGTTGATGCTCGTCGAAGCTGGCCATCAAATTGGTTAAGGAATGCAGCAACTTCGGGTACTGTGCGCCCAATGTGATATAGTAAATTCAAGCAGAGTGGCAGGAAACCAGAATTCCATATAGAGAAAAGCCTTGGAGTAGGGTCAAATGGACCACAGCCTTGGGGTTGGCGGAATGCCTCGGTGAGTCTGTAGGTTGACAGTTTCACAAGTATCCCGTCGACTGCAAGCTGCTCTGCAATGCTGGGAATACAAGATAGCTCTAGGAGATACAGCATGCTGATCTCGCCATACACAGGGTCGCCTTCAATGGTCAGCTGATTTGACCATGAGAAAAGGGTTGCAGCATATCGAATAGTATCACTATCAGCCAGGTGGAATGCAATCTGTTCGTAGATGCGATCGACATCCTTGACCTTTAGGGAGGTTTGCAAGATTGCTGTTAAAATCGCAAAATCCTTCGGAGTGCATTTGTCAGGGGAATCGTGTAGGTGTGTGCATAGAGATCGGTAGCCATTGGCAACTACGTTCTTGATCACATCGACAACGACAGTCAGATCAGAAGACACCTCAGGTTTCTGACTGACGGCTTCTGGGTTGACTAGATTAGCGCCTGTAACATGGAACTGCAGTGTAAGGAAGAGCACATTAAGCAGGAGCCCATAATACTCTGTGTTGTCATGCAAGAGGGCGCTCTCATATGTCGGGTTACGAAGCCGGATAGTTTCCCATGTAACAGATAAAAGGCTGAAAACTTCAGAACCCCTCGCTTGTACTTCAACAAGGCGATGAACCAGGGCCAGGGCGAACTCCGCTCTAGTTTCAAGAAGTTTGAAAAATATTTGCTCGTCAGGTATATCATGAGAGTTTGCAACCAAGCAATGGCGCACAACTCTGGCCATAGACTTCTGAACTTCACGGTCAGGCATAAAATCAGAGCAGTGCTCGATTGCAAAGAATTTCCAGCTGTGAAGAAGTGACTATTTCAAAGTCAGTAAAAAAAAAAAAATATTCGAATAGATCAAGTATAACTTGACGTACCATCTGTGCCTCGACGAGGGATAGGTTCAAATTGGCCCGTTTAACCTCTTCCACAAACCCTTGATCACGTTTACCAATCCATGCAAAATCGTAGCCGAAGAGCTTGTTACCCATTGGGACATCATAATAATATTCCTCCCCAAATTCCGGTTGCGTAAGTGCAGTGCGCTTGATATTTGATATCTTGCTCTCGCGGTATTTCATTTCAAAGTTGCGTTTCAGATTCCCATGTAGTGACGCATTGTATCCGTCAACCTCAACTGCATTTTCTGAGAGCCAGGTGACGAGTGGTATCAATGTTTTGAAGAACGACCCATCTCTGGCCTCCTTGGCACTGTGTAAATACACGGTGCAGATGTCGACTACGAACGCAGCTATCCGTATATTCATGCATTTTTGGTATGGCTGAAGCTTGCTGATATTTAGGTCAGTGATGTATTTAGTTACCACTGTGAAGAAATTCGGGTGTTTCTTAAGCTCTGGTGTTACCCATGGCCAGTGTTCTTGGGCTTTAGCGATGAAATGTAGCGCTGCTACTGCTACTTGGGGTGGAATAGAAGAAATGGAGGACAGTAGATCCAGAGATGCTTCCAGGAACGGTTTTGATTTCATAGATGCAGCGGATTTATCGGAATCTGCTTTCAGGGATTCTCGAGGAGAGCAGCCGGTCAGAAGGAAAACAGCAAGCCATTGCTGTCTTTTAGTTATAATTGAAGTCACGAGCTTCCAGATAGCTACCTTAACGTCATCAGATCCGAATGGCCGGTCAAATTTAGCTAGAGCATCTAGAAAACGGCACGATGACTCGGCACCAAGGTGTCCAAGTAGAGAAGGCGGCTCTCTGTCAGTATAGGCGGAGGCGCGAGACACAAGCAACTCCAGCAATGTAGAAATTGGGAGCTGGTATCTGCGATCAAGAACAAATAATCTTGCGAGAATAGGTGAGGCGCTAAAGAGCTGCTTCTCAAGTGCGGAAATGGGAGCGTCCGTCAGCCATCCAACTTGTATTAGGATCTTGGCCAAATCAAGTGTTGAAACCACCAAGGTACTGCATTCTATTGTAGAGTGAACCATGTTTTCAGGCACGTGAGCCTCAAATCCACCTAGGATAATTCGCAAGATGGGATTGGATGGGAGACTCTCATTCAATCTTGGTCGGAGAATGTTCGATAGGTATCTGGCAGAACTTGAAAACACAGCAGTTATTTTATCGTCAGGGTCTTGGGTATCATCGGTTCCGTAAACGTAATAGAGGATTTTGTGGAAATTAATGGCTAAGGAGGTGTTGATTTCAATTTGTTGGTGGATGTCATTGTGTTTCCAGCCGGAGCCGCTATTGTATATCTCCACCATAGCTCGAACGAAGTTGAGCAAGCAGGTGCGCATCGAGCGCACGGGAATTCCGGCTGTGTATTCAACCACATAGGCAGCTGAAGTGACCTTTGCGGTGGTTCTCCGAAGAGCAGCATGAGTGATAGCATCATCGACAACAGACTCAAATAGTCTGATCGATGAGAGGAGGAACGAAAGATCTCCAGAGCTTGCCTCTACCGAGAAGATGATTTTATCCAACATGCCGCCGTTTCCATTGGTTGACAAGAAGGAACTTCGAACAAGAGCTGGCCAGACCCTTCCAGGGAGGACTTTGGTAAGCGACGATATGAAATGCATGCAAGACATAGTAAGATCGAGGTTTCGATTGCCAGATGTGGCGGCGCTGGCACCCTGAAGGCTGCGTTCAAAAATGTTGAAAATTACGGATATGATATCCGCATGGCGATCTAACCCATCACTCGCCATTTCCAAGATTCGTTTTGCGGAAGATTCGAGTCCATTAACCCTAGAGATGGCATATGCATTATCAATCAAGTCCGCAAGCAGACCGATAATATCTGCAGCAACATCGTCGTCAGGGGCGTTTTCATTCCGGCGGCTGTTGGTACCTTGTTCTAGCCACTTGCCGAGGAATCCAAGGCAGTTGTACTGGTGATGCCACATTATCACAGCGGGTTTTGACTCGCTGACCACTTGCCCAACTGTAACTGCAGGAAGTACAGACAATTCATCGGCAAGAACTAATTCGTTAGAAGTTTGCATGATATCATGTTTTGCGGAAGCAATCTCTTTCATATCCAGTGGTGCGATTAGCTCGACATAGTTAGCATTTTCATCTTCCCGGATTGATCGATACCCCTGGAAGCCAGATGCAACAGCCTGTGTATAGGTCGCCATGGATTCTAGTTCATGACAGATTATGGGCAGGCCATCTTCGGTTGATAGGCTGCACCCTGAGAGAGCTCTGCAGAACTTCAGAAAATTTGCAGCCTCGTAGGGGAAACGAGATTTTGCATTTCGG